GTTTTTAAAAATGTAAGAAGTTGTGATTGTTCTGTTTCAAAATCATAAGCTACCTCGTCTTTTTCTGGAAGGAGACCTGTGTAACACATTTCTAGAACTTGAAATGTGTATAAATCCTAGTGTAAGGATGTTATGGTTGTGGGCTGGTGAAAGACACCGCTCCTACCCCTCCTCAGGGAGGGACAAGTTCACACCTGAACAGTGAGGTCAGTTATCTTTGTCACTATGTTCATATGGCTGGGACTATTAGGAGGCTCTGGAATAGAAAATGGAACCCAGCCAGAAGACTCAAAGGATGAAGGGTTTTACTTTGCTTTTTGTCTGGTTCTAAGGAAGGAATCAAAATGAAGGCAGATGTGGACTCACATGTGTGCACTAAGATATAGGTAACAGGCTGGCTATAGTATTGTTTGTGCTAGAGAAAGATTGGAAACAACCTAAGTGTCCATCAACGGAAGAATGGATAATTAAACTGTGCTATTGTCATTCAATGGAATTCTACTTGGCAGATGAAATGAATAAACTAGATATGTATGTATCAACATATGTGAAAACAATGTTGACTGAAAACAAAGCATATTGCAACATGAAAGTAGTTATGTAAATAGTATACATTTTATGTAAACATATAGATACTAGAGGCCCAGTGCACGAAATTCATGCACAGGTAGGGTACATAGGCCTGGCTGGTGATCAGGGCCAATCAAGGCCTTCCGGCTGCTGGCCAGGGCATTCCTTCCAGCTGCCAGCTGGGGCCTCCTTTCCCCGGCCTGCCTGCTGCGAGCTGGACCCTTCCTTTGTTCCATGCTGCCCCCTGGTGGTCAGCACACGTCATGGCGAGCAATCAAACTCCTGCTCGAACTCCCAAGGGGACACTTTGCATATTAGTCTTTTATATATATAGACTAGAGGCCCGTTGCACGAAGATTCATGCAATAGGCCTTCTTTCCCCTGGCTGCCAGCACCAGTTTTCCTCTGGCACCCAGGACCCAGACCTTCACTCTGGCAACTGCCTTCCATCTTTGCTCTGGACACAGTCTTCACTGCGGCTGCAGCCTTCAGTCTTTGCTGCTCGCTCCGGACAGAGTTTTCAGCCTCCAGCCAGAGCTGCTCCTGTAGCTCCTTCTGCCCCTCCCCATCCCCCTCATAGCTTGATTGCTGATTCGCCTGCAGACCTCGCCAATGGGCTCCTGGGTCCCAGGGGGCCGGCCGCCTTGCCTGCAGCCCGGCTTTCTGATCACAATCACGATCATGATCATGATCACGATCACGGGCTGCAGGCAAGGCGGCTCCTGGGTCCTGGGGGACCGCCTTGCCTGCGGCCTGGCTTTCTGGCGGCTCCTGGGGTTACACACGGGGGCCTGGATGGCAGCTCCCAGTGTCCTTCCCTGTCTGCAGTATGCAAATTAGCCGCCATCTTTTTGGGTGGTTAGTTTGCATATCACGCCGATCAGCCAATGGTGATGGTAGCGAAGGTACTATGTTTGTCTATTGTTAGATAGGATAGTTTAGGTATAAAAACATGGACTAATAGGGTACTGATTGCCTCTGAGGAGGGAGGAAGGGAGGGAGGCAAGACTGGGAAATACAGATAAGAGGATTTCAACTTTATCTGTATTATTCTAATTTCTCTTATTAAGAAATTAGAGGCCCGGTGCAAGACATTAGTGCAGGGGGGGGCCCTCAGCCCGGCCTGTGCCCTCTGGGGATGCCTCGGGGGATGTCCGACTACTGGCGGTGAGTGGGCCTAAGCTGGCAATAGGACATTTACTGAGGGGTCCTTACTGCTGCTGCGCTCACCAGCCTTGAGCCCGGCTTCTGGCTGAGCAGCGCTCCCCCTGTGGGAGCACACTGACCAACATGGGTCAACTCCTGCATTGAGCATCTGCTCCCTGGTGGTCAGTGTGCGTCATAGCAACCAGTCGTTCTGTTGTTCGGTCGATTTGCATATTAGGGTTTTATTATATAGGATATTTGAAACATGAAGAGGTGGTCAATTTAATTACTTTTTAGGTAAATGTAAATTAAAGCCACAGAAAAAAGGAAAAAAATTGCAGTAAGATACCAGTATACACTCACCAGAATGGTTAAAATTAACATGTCTAGCAATATCATATGTTGACACAAATATGGAGCAGTTGGAATTCTTATACATTGCTGGGAGTGTAGATTCATTCAACACTCTGGAAAATAGTATCTTTGAAAGGTAAGCACATGTCTCTCCTGTGATTCTGAAATTTCCCCCCTAGGTATAAACCCAAGGGAAGTGAGTATTGATGTGCACCAAAAGAAATGTACAAGGATGTTCACAGCAGCTTTCTATTAGTCAATGACTAGAGATAACTAAGACAATTTGGTTATTCCACTTCTAGATGTATATCCTAGAGGCTCTTAATCATGTACACAAGGAGACAGGAGCAAGAATACTCACTGCAGCACTATTCAAGTAAGACCAGCCCAGCAGCAGCAGCAGCAGCAGCAGCAGCAAAACAACTTAAATGTCCACCAGCAGGAGGATGGATTAATACTGCAACAACACCCATGCATGGACATTACGTTAAGCAAAAGAAGCCAGATATAAAAAAAAAAAAATGAATACATTATGATGTTGTTTAAGGAGTTTTAGAATTGCCAAACTAATAATCCTTGGGTTAACTATCATAGGGGTTACTTATGGGGGCCTACTGACTGGAAAATGGCATCCAGACTCTTTTAGGGTGAGAATAAAATACTATATCTTCATCTGGATAGTAATTACACAGGTAAACATTTACTGAACTTACACTCAAATTTTGCATACTTTGTTGTATGTAAATTATACCTTAAAAATATCTGAAGCAAAAATAAAATGTTAACATGTGTTCATTCTCAGTGGTGGCTACACAGAGCACTATGACCTAATTCTCTATGTTTTTCTATATATTAAAATTATAATTAAGAAAGAGAAGAGAGCAGTAGTCTTCCATAGCCAGAGTAACACCCATGCTAGAGGTGACACTTTGAGTTGGGGCCCCTCAATGCTTGGGTGGGTTCCCTTACAATGGGGTGCAGACGACAACAGCCAGCCAACCTGAGAAGAGGTTACCTTCATTGTCACTGTCTCGGTAAACTGAATGGCTGCTGTAAACTGGAGCTGTTTTGTAGACTGTTCTGAAGATCAGCTTGGCTGATTCTTCAGCTGACAGGGACGTAAGAGCTGGGCTGGGTTGTCCACCACCCTGTACCCTGCCCCCGCCCAGGAGGGAGAGCTGCATTTGGAAAGCAGTTCCTTGGTCTCAGCTGCCCAATTGGTTGCTGCTCTGCTAGCCCAGGGCATCACCAGTGGGAAAGAGAAAAAAAAAATTAAAAAGGGAGGTGGGAAAAAGGAAAAAATAGAAGAGGTGAAATGAAAGATGCATATGCCTTGCCTTGTTGCTTTAAGGACCTGGATTATCTACTTCAGTATTTGGAGCTTTGTCCTCCGGTCTGCTCAGTTCTCCACCTTACCCTGTGGAGGAAGTGTGGGTGTGGTGAAGCCCAAAGCAGCTCTGAAACCAGATAGGGCTGCCCTGCCATCAGGACCTGACTAGCTGGCTACTTAACCTCTCTGCGCCTCACCTGTGAAACAGAAGCAGTAATTCCGCCTCGCAGGGTTGCTCTGGGGCTGAAATGGTGCATGCCAGACCTGACCTTGGGGGCCCTTGATAACCAGGATAAGACCCCTTGTTTCTCCCTGAAGCCAGCTTTGTGAGTCCGAAACCCTGGCAAGGTCTCCCAGTAGAAATTTTAGCAATGATGACGGTTGAGCACTTGACATGTGACTGACTCAATTTTTTCATTTTATTCTATTTTAATTGCTTTACATTTAAATAGCCAGCTGTGGTCAGTGGCTACTCATTGGGCAGCACAAGAAGAGTCATTCACAGTCACAACTGGTGCCCTGCCAGGCGGCTGGGCAGGGTGGCCCTTTAGTGTGGACTCAGAGGGGGCCAGGCACTCCCTGCACCTAAGAAGCCATTTCTTCCGCCTAACAAGCTCCTCCAGAATGAAGTCAGGGACTGTAGTCAGGCTCCGGCTCAGCTGGGAGCAGTCAAGGTTGGTAAACCGTGGACTCCACTGACTTCTGTTTCTCTTTCCTCCCACACTTTCCACCCACAACTCTTTTAAAATTTTAAATGTTTCTATTGAATTCAGAGAGTAAGGGAGAGGGAGAGATAGAAACATCAATGATGAGAGAGAATCATTGATTGGCTGCCTCTCGCAAGCCCCAGTAATCAAGCCCGAAACCGGACATGTGTCCCCACCAGGAATCTAACCGCAACCTCGTGGTTCATAGGTCCTGGCTCAACCACTGAGCTACACCGGCTGGGCCCACAACTCTTTTTTTATTTTTATCTATTGGTTTGGGAGAAGAGAGAAAAACATCGATCTGTTGTTCCCTCTATTCATGCATTCATTGGTTGCCTCTTGTATGTGCCCTACGGGGATGGAACTGCGGCAACCTTGGCACATTGGGACCCCGCTTGAACTAACTGAGCTACCCGCCAGGGCTCCACCCACAACTCTTAAGTCCCTCGGAGAAGTTGGGTGGGGACGCGTGGGAGACACCCCCTGGGTCTCTCCTCTCAGCCGTTCAGCTACTTGACTCTTCACAGCAAACCCTGGAGGCTCAGCGTTTTCATTTCACAGATGAGGGAACTGGTGCTCCAGTAGGTTCAGGGCACAGGGCGGGAAGCAGCGGAGCTCCAGCCAAAAGTAGAACTTTTTGGGGTTCTGGTGACGTCAAAGGCATCTTCGTGGGTCGGGTTGTCAGGGTGCACGGGGAAAACGGCGGGTAAATATTTGGCGCTGTAACCTGGGCTCCAGCCAGTCCTAGTCACTGCGGTTCCCGGGCGGCGCGTGGCGAGGGCGGTGTCTGGGGACAAGGGCATCTTGGCGGGCGGCGGAGCCCACTCGCTGGCCCCGCCCCGCTCCGCCTCCGCCTCCGCCGGCGGCTATAAGTCACCCGGGCGGCGGTGGCGGCGCAGTTGAAAGAGCGCGTGCGGACCGGACCGTACCGTACTGGGAGCGACAAGGAGCGACAAGCAGAGCGGGAACAGAGCGAGAGCAGAGCGACGAGCAGAGCGGGAGCAGAGCGGGAACAGAGCGAGAGCAGAGCGACAAGCAGAGCGGGAGCAGAGCGGGAACAGAGCGAGAGCAGAGCGACGAGCAGAGCGGGAGCAGAGCGGGAACAGAGCGAGAGCAGAGCGACGAGCAGAGCGGGAGCAGAGCGGGAGCGCGCGCCGAGCCCCCGGCTGCAGTGCGAGCATCCCGGGTCCCGGGCAGCGCCTCGCAGGACCCTCCGGCCCGCGCCGGGCAGAGCCCGCCCATGAAGCCGCCCGCATCGCAGGGCAGCCCCGCGGCCGCCGCAGCCGCAGGTGAGCGGGGGTCCCCTTAGAGCCCTGGGCCTACAGGTGAGGGGGTGGGGTGGGAGCGGGAAAGAAGAGTGATGCCGTGTCCTCCCTTACACTTTACCTCCCGCCATACTCACCAGCGGGAGCCTGCCCGTGGCGGGTCAGCTCCCCCCCCGCCCCACGCCCCCACGCAGGGCTGAGGACCCGAGTTCGACCCCGCGGGCGCAGCCTGACTCAGTTTTCCCTCCGCCAGCGGGTTCGCACGCGCCCCCGGGGGAGCGAGCGTGGGGGCACGGAGCCGGCGCGCGTGGGAAAGAGTTCCGCTGTGTCACCAGCGGGGGCCCTTGGCCGGCAGTTTCACCCGCCGCAGGCTGTTTCCTTCTCTCTAAGGTGGCGGGATAGCAGGCCGGGCTTCCAGGGGGGTGCAGAATAATAGGAAACAGCAGCGGCGCGCCCGCGGGCGGCCACCGGGCGAGCGCAGGGATGGTCGTTATCCCCGGGAGCGGGCGGGACGGGGTGCCCGCGGGGCCCGGCGTCTGAGCCCGCGTCCCCGCCCCCAGCGCCGGCCCTGGACTCCGCGGCCGCCGGCGACCTGACGGACGCGCTGTGCGAGTTCGACGCGGTGCTGGCTGACTTTGCGTCGCCCTTCCACGAGCGCCACTTCCACTACGAGGAGCACCTGGAGCACATGAAGCGGCGGAGCAGCGCCAGCGTCAGCGACAGCAGCGGCTTCAGCGACTCCGAGAGTAAGTGCGCCCCACAAGAAAGGTGCCCCGCGCCCCGAGGCTCCCGCCCCGTCCGTGCAGGAGCGCTGGGCGCGGTCTCAGTTTGCCTATCTGTAGTCGGAGGGGTGGGGCCCGGCGAGGTGACCCTACCGCTCAGGGCAGTCCCCAGGGCACCGGGAGAGTGGAGTCGCGGGGCGGTCGCCCAGCGGGGGCAAGAGCCCGGGGGAGGCTCTGGAGGGCCAGTGGGTCTCCCTGCGGCCGGCAGGTGCCACGGGCTGGAGGGTTTCCTGAAGCAGCTGGTCCGGCCTCAGCCAGACGGGACTCCTGGGACCCGAGCCTTTCCACAGTTCCCTCGCCTCCTCTCCTTCCCCCTCCTCCCCTCTCAGCAATAACTTTTCAGAGGATGTGGAGCAAGTGGCACAGGAATGGGGGTGGGAGGGCATAATGCTGAAACATTTGTGAAACCAGAAAAGTTTCATAAACGGCTGCTCTTGGGAATTTCTGAAATAACTTCTTGCACTTTCTTTTGGCCCCGCGCTCCCCGACTGGCTGCTCCGTTACAGACAGTTTTGAAAGAATCCCTGGCACTGCTGGGTTCAAGTGTTTTAGGAAGTGACCCCTCCTTCAGGCAGGCCGCTGGGGGAGTGTCGGCTTTGACTCCCCACTTAGATTGGACAGGGAGATGCTTCCTGGGGACTCCCAGGGTCTCTGTCCTAAACAGCCACAAGAGACACAGCTTTCTTCAGGAACCCAGATGTCCTCTAAGGATTATGGATGTCTGCTTAGGTGTCAAACAGCACATTGGGTGACTTTTCAGTATTACATGCTTGCCGGTTTCGAATTACTTATTTTTCAAAGTGAATTTGAAGCAATTCTGGGTTATTCTTGAGACTTCACTCCCTAGATGGCTACAGGCATGAATGGCACCCTCTTTGCTGCCCTGGACTCTGGAAGTGCAAGCAATGACCTTTCCTTGTAATTCTCTTCTTTTGAAATCCAAAGTTCTTCCTTGTCAGAGGGCAAAGGTTCAGTCCTAGACTTAAACATGAGCTGTCTCCTGAGAAGGGATAAAGGGCACGCACCACCCTTCAGAGTTTGAGTCAGAAACCCAAGTTCCAGTTGACTTTCTTTTGGCTGCCTTGCCCAAGGGTTAGATCTAATTGCAGCTTTGAGGTGAAAGGGAATGGAATAGTGTGCTGTTAATTTTCCGTTTTGTATTTTTGGACTTTGTGGCTAATGACCAGACCGCTTATATTTAATTTCAAAGGGAAGCCTAAAAACTTTTGAAATGTGTCTCACTATCTGTGGCCAAACTGAAATACATTTCCTTCTACTGGGGCATGGAGCAAGTTATTCATTGAGAACAAATTCTCTCCCCCACAGGAAAGAAAGCTGGGGCAGCCTGTCCAGTGCTGGTCTATTGCAAAGAACAGCTCCTTTCTAAACCACAGCCGCACTTGGCTGGAGTATGGTCTGAGCTCGCCCATTCATGGGTGACTGCAGTTCCCTCTGGGTAGGGTTTCAGAGCTGGGATCTGCTTTCAGGGGCCTCAAAGAGAAGGTACTTGAAACACATTCTGAACGGTTCTGGGGGGATGTGTGAAATAATCTGTATTGCTCTTAGGGTATGTGTGTCTATTTCGTTTTCTGCTTTTGTTGTTAACTGTTGAACTAAACCATAGTTTGGTGTTTAGAGAAGTAACGGGGAGGGTATAAAGAAGGCTCTGGTGACATCAGTCTTTTCAACAGATGTGTAGTTTGTCCCCCATATGACTGCTTAGAACTAGTCTTGACAGAAGCGGTGTGTATCTAAATAGTAATTTCTTAAGGAAGCATAATATGTATATCTTAATTGCCACCAAGAATTGGGTACAGGCATTTGTTTTAATCATTTGTCTGTTTAATGCTTTCCTGTGGAAGAGAATGTTTGAGAGAGGTAGACCTGCTGAATTCAGTCCACCAAAAGGGAGACACACCAAGATAAGATAATAAGAGAGGGTCACTTTTGCAACACCCTGACTATGATTACTATTAGTACTTATTACCTCTTACTATTAGTGGTCTCTTTGCTATGCTTTAAATGTGTTAGCTTGCCAAAACCGGTTTGGCTCAGTGGATAGAGCGTTGGCCTGCGGACTGAAGGGTCCCAGGTTCGATTCCGGTCAAGGGCATGTACCTGGGTTGCAGGCATATCCCCAGTGGGAGATGTGCAGGAGGCAGCTGATCGATGTTTCTCTCTCATCGATGTTTCTAACTCTCTGTCTCTCTCCCTTCCTCTCTGTAAAAAATCAATAAAATATATTAAAAAAAAAAAGTAAATAGATTCTAAAAAAATAAATAAATAAATAAAATAATTGTGTTAGCTCATATGATCGTTACCACAGTTCTATAAGGTAGACACTGTTGTTTGTATTTTTCTGATAAAACATCAAAACCACATGGGCTCTCTCTCTCTCTAAGGCCTTGCTCTTCAGGGTGGATTGTTGGCTGGAATGGGAGCCAAGTCCTCAGGAATAGATATGAAGTCCCATTGGACCCAGATCACGTGCCTGTTTAGCAGTGGTGGTTGTGTGTGAAGGTGTATCTTTCAAGTGCTCGTCTGCTGGGGCCGTGGAGCCCAGGCTGAGCACCGTCAGCCCTGGGCAATGAGTGGGCTTCAGTTTCTCTGGCTGTAAGGTTGAACTGATGCTGTTTAATTAGTTCAATTAGAAATATCCATAAGCCCATAATTAGGAAGAAATACTTGCTCTTTTTAAAAAATGTATATTTTTATTGATTTCAGAGAGGAAGAGAGGGAGAGAGAGATGGAAACATCAATGATGAGAGAGAATCATTGATCAGCTGCCTCCTGCACCCCCCACTGGGAACAGAACCCATAGTGTGGGCATGTGCCCTGACCAGGAATTGAATCGTGACCTCCTGGTTCATAGGTTGATGCTCAACCACTGAACCACACCGGCCAGGTGCATTTCTGGGTTTTTTTTCCAAGAACCCTTCCTTTTCTCACTAGGTTACTTGCATCCAAAAGAGAAAGATATATATTTCTTCTTCCATCCAAAGAAGCAAGTTACTTAGATGGGAAAGAATAACGGATATTTAATAAGGAAATACTCCTTCATGTTCCCACTTAGGGAGTCCTAAGACATGAAGAGGACCAAAATAACAATTGCAAGATAACTTCACCTTAGGGGTGGCATTCAAATGGGGGTGATCAAAATAGTCTTGTTCCTTTCTCCTACTTGGGTTCTGACAGGTAATCTCAGGCACCTTTGTGGGAATCGTTTAACTTCAGCAGTAAACGGGCAGTGTAGTTAGGAGCTAGGGCAGTGTGGTTCAAACTTGATCATCAGACGTGCTGCAGGAGTTGTAAACATCTTTGGTTTAAACTTATTCTTCAAACTATATTGTTTTCTCAATATTTCTAAAACTATTTCCAAAAATAGTGAGAAAACAACGTAGTTTGAAAAATAACTTTAAGCCAAATGTGTTTAAGGTCTGAAGTTTACTGTGTATGCTAGGGCTATTATGATATTGTAGGGCCATTTTCGGGGAAAAGCAACTGGCTTTCTTAGCATGTGTAAGACCTAGAATGTTTGAATGTCTTTTGCCTAGACCAGTGGTCGGCAAACTGCAGCCCCTTGAGTGTGGCTCTTCCACAAAATACCATGTGCGGGCGTGCACGGTACAGTGCGATTGAAACTTCGTGGCCACACTCAAGGGGCCAAAGAGCCGCATGTGGCTTGTGAGCCGCAGTTTGCTGACCACTGGCCTAGACTATTCCAGCTTGGCCCTGGGAGAGGGGACCTGATGGACCCTGGGTGCCAGCATGACGGGAAGCATATTGGCTGATCAGACATAGGAGCCACTGAGACTAGAACCTGAACTTGTTCAAACCGTGGGAAAACGGGGAGTTAGGAGCCCTCTGGTTGCCCTAGTGCTGCGTTAGGAATTCTGGGTGGGTCACAGGTCTCACTCTGAAGGCCACCGGGAGAGGTGTCTAGAGGCACGAGCAGTCCCAGAAGGAAAGCTGAGACGACAGCGGTGAAACTGAGGAAGGGGCTCTTTCTTCTTCTATCCCACTTTCAGGGAGGCTGTCAGAACTTAGATTTTTGAGGGGAGATTCGCCCCCCCGCCCCATTCCCTGTGGCAAAAGGGAAACAGGTCCAAGGCTTTCTTTTTCTCAGTTGATTACTATAGTTTGCTTGCCTTAAACGTGTGGGATTGTTCTATATTTACAGGAGCTCTGGACAAGGTTCACTGTCTGTGGTTTTACTTCCCGCTGGACTAGCGCATGTTGGTGCTAACCCTAAATTACCTTTCTCCCCACCCCTAAACTAAAAAAGCACATATACCTTTTACAAGCCTCTGTTTTTGCAGCCGAGTTTCCCAAGCTCTGTTAGTGTTTCTAAAGTTAGATGTTTGTATATTTAATATGCTTACATTTCTTCTAACGGTGTCTTAACAAAACTTGGTCCCTGAATTTGAGGTTCCTGGCTTTAGCACATGAAGTTGACTTGACAAGGATGTTTTATGGGGCTTTGGGTTGCTTGTGAGATGGGCTTTAGAGCTGATTGAAGTAGATGTAAGTCTTTAAAATATCTATTCTTGACACCTGCCAAGGTTCCTCAAATCATCACTGTTACATGTCCCTCAAGACCCTATTAATAGCAGCTGATACCCGGGTGGGGCAATAATACATTAATTATGTATATTAATAATACACATTGCTGTCATTTCATTAGACTAACTGGCCATTATTTTGCAAGGAGTAGAGTTCCAGGGGAATGACAAGAACAGGAAGCCAGGCTTTGCTTACCTTTTAATTTACCACAACGCTTAGCATGAGATGTTGTTCATTGCAGGTGCTTAATAAAAGTCTATAATATGAAATTTTATTGGACAAAGGGTACAGAGAGATCAAGAGTTTGAGGTACTTTTGTGTTGGTGGTTTGTTCTTGGGAGGTTTATTCTAGGGCACCTCTAAAGAGAAACTTCTCCTAAGGACTTTGCTACTGTCTGAAGAAGAGGAGGAAGCCTGGGCCCCAAATCTTGATTCTTACTATTCTCTGTGGTGACCTTTCCTGTCCTGGGTGTTCCATCCTCCAATTTGCCAGGAACTTGAGAATAAATCATGAAAACCATGGGTATCATACATGGAGCACCTCAGTTATTCCCCTTTTGCAAAAGAAACTAAAACGCAGAGGTGAAGTGACCTGCACAGGCCACACAGCCTTCACGGCCTCTCTCCCACACATCTCCATGGCGGCAGCTTCTGTCAGGCCCACCATATCTTTGGGGCTCTTGAGGTTGTCCTTTGCATCTTTTTCATGAATAACATTTGTAGAATAATCCCACCGGGTGGGACTAAACTGTGGGAAGTTTTGGCTAAAGGATGCTGGGTTTCATTTCCTTTTGATAGGTGAACATTTTGGAGTCTGGAGTCAAGTTTGGCGCAGATTGTGCATAGGACTTATAGAAAGAGAGAAGGCATCAAGGTGTACCAGTGAGCCAGAATATGAGCTAATGTGTGTGTGTGTGTGTGTGTGTGTGTGTGTGTGTGTGTGTGTTTTCCTCCCAAAGGATGGGTATATGGTGATGTAAAATAGCTGGAGAATTGGAGCAGAATAGAGATGAAGTCTGAAGTCCTGGCAAGGGCCTGTGGTTCAGGGTGGGGTGGAGTAAGGTGTGGTGGAGAAACTGGCTCTCCGCGGCCAACTGTCTGTGGGAGATAGAGAACAGAGGTGTGGCCACTGAGATCCGGGCCAGCAAGTCTCTAAGCTTGGCACTCTGGACCAGGGATGGGGGTAAGATAATGCGCCAAAGGCCTAGCGTTCCTTCTGGCTCAGGAGTCTGGGCACGAGGCCTGCCTCCCCAGGGCCCTGTGTGGTTTTCCTGCCTCTATGACTTGCCTCATCTTTCTCCCACAACTTTGTGGGCTTCTCCTGACTATTGCCTGGTGACAAATAGTAACACTCTGCTGTAGGTCTGCAGTGGACACAACCACTTCGCTGTATGCTGGGAAAAGGCTTTCCCTTGAGGAAACCCAGACTGCTCTAGAGGTGGGCTTAGCTGACAAGGCAAACAGAAGGCACTTGCCAAGTTGAGTCCTACTGAGTACAAGGGTCCTAAGAAATGTTAACAGGGGTGCCCCAGAAAAGTGTCCCGTGATCAAGCGAACTTGGGAAACAGGGCTTTCTTTATCACAAGACTTCTCAGGGATGTTCAAGTGGAAATGCACAATGGGAATCTCCAAGGATGCTCAGTGCGCCCCAAACTTAGTTGATTACACAGTTCTCTCTCTCTTTTTTAAAGGACCAGTATTCTGAGGAATATGTTTTTGGGGAAATGTGAGAGGTTCACCATTTGGATCTCAGTAGGTGTTCATCATCAAAACCCTGAAAAATGATGTGGTCCTTTCAGGTGATGTGAGCTAGACCTTTGAAGGTCGAAAACTTTGAGGGTTGGGCATGTTTGAAAAAGTGGACAAGATGGGTGTGTGGGCCAGGAAGACAAGATGGTGCCCCCCCCCCCCCGCCCCCACAACCCCCTGCAGAATAGCAGGGGAGGCAAGTGAGCCAGGTGAGATGCCTGAGAGCTTGTAGCAGCCTTTAGGAGTGAAGATAAATTCTCTTGGGACCAGAAACCTCTACTTCTGAAAACCCTTTTTATTCTGGGCACATCTTTTGTAACTTAGTCATGTTCATTCTGTGTTAAGGGGACCAAAGAAGGATGTGTTTGCCTCCTCCTGACCTGGAGGTAATTGGAGAATTCTTATGGAGGAGTGGGGCCTGGCCAGGACCTCATGATTCGGCTTCCCTCTCTCACCTGAAGAGTATTTCCAGATCATCTCCACTACAGCCGTGGCTGGCTTTGTGTTTTGTTTTAACCCGGAAGACTGTTCCTTTGTGACCTCATTGGCCACATCCTGCTTCCGCTGTCTGCTCTGCCTTTGAGCCCTTTGAGTTGGTGCAGCTCAGCCAGCAGCTCCTCTCTGTCACGGCCGCATGGCTGGGCTGGCTGTGAGTTGGTTTCCTCTCCCTTGGCAGGATTTAGAGAAACAGAATCTCAGAACTTGAGAGCGGGAAAGGACTTTAAGGATTATTTAGTCCATTTTCCCATTTTATTGATGGGTGTAAGCTGAGGCCCAGAGATACTGTCTTGCTCAAGGGCACCCAAGTAGCTGAACAATTTCCTTGACTCCCAGTGCAGCCCTGCTTCTGTGACTTTGCCTTGCTGTCGGTCTGGTCTTTGGGGGTATGACAATAGAGGGAACCATAAAAATCACTCAAAGTGTCTGTAACAGACAAGCTCCCGGAGGAGAAATCTTTATCGTTGACCCTCTAGCTCAGTGATGGCGAACCTATGACACGCGAACTCATTTTTTTGGTTGATTTTTCTTTGTTAAATGGCATTTAAATATATAAAATAAATATCAAAAATATAAATCTTTGTTTTACTATGGTTGCAAATATCAAAAAATTTCTATATGTGACACGGCACCAGAGTTAAGTTAGGGTTTTTCAAAATGCTGACACGCCAATCTCAAAAGGTTCACCATCACTGCTCTAGCTTAACTCCAGAGTGTAAGCTCTCAGGAAAATCATGACAAAGATTCTCTCTTGAACAGGCAGGGAAAATTATTAAGTCATGGGATCCAACCTTGTGTTTATATTTTAGGGGGTTCAGAGGGCAGAAAATAAATTTTTTAGAAAAGATGATTCCTTATGTCTAAGATCCCAAATCAACCTGGTGTTGGTCAGGCACCTGGGCAGTGGGCTCCTCTGTGTTGTAAGGAGGTCAGTGTGGTTGTGGTGACTCCATCACACCTGCCCTTTTTCAGGGCAGCAAGGGCCTTTGGTGCATGTGATTACACACACACACAGGCACACACACACACAGAGGCACACTCTCCTGTTTCAAATCATTTTGGGGGCATACATATAAAATTTGGAAATCAACCCATTTTGTTTACTAGAAATTTGTATCTTTTGCTCCTTTTGGTGATAAGCAGTTGATTATAGACTGAAGACCATTCCTAATGAGTTATGTTTTCTTTCCTGAAAGGTGCAGATTCATTTTACAGAAACAGCTTCAGCTTCAGTGATGAAAAACTGAATTCTCCAACAGACTCCACCCCGGCTCTGCTCTCTCCCGCCGTCACTCCTCGGAAAGGTGAGTTCATTAGTTGGAGCTCATTTTTTTTTTTGCTTCCTTATTCCCTTCCTCTTCCCAGTCTCTTCTCTCTTCCCCCTGATCCTTAACCAATCTTTCCCAAAGGCAAAACAAACAGATGACTAATCTCTTAGGATAGTATAGTGTAAAGTGGAATTTATTATTTTTCAGGCTTTTGATCAGTGTGGAAGTGAAACCAGATAACACAATGGGGGTGGCATGGGGTCACCAAAAAAAAACAACACCCCAAATTCACAGGGAGAAAGAAAGCTAGTAGATGGAACACAGTGCTCTGCTCTCTCTCAGGTGGTGTCCTTGAGACCGTGCGAGGACAGCGCTCTCCCTGACTGGTGGCTTCCAGAGTTTAAAACTCAGCAGTTAGACTTTGCAGGAAGTAGCAGTCTTTTTATTGCATTAACTATTTAACCAATGATTTCAGATGACCAATTTAGCAATTAAACGGGTTCATCATTATGAGACAAGAGATGATTGGACACGATTCTAAGTAGCAGCTCCAGCCCGTCTCTGCTGTGGCATGAGTAGCCCTGGAAGCTTTAAAGGTGCACGAGCGGCTTCTTATTTTTTGGAGCTAGTAAGTGTCTCCAGCCAGAGAGCCAAATGTCCTGTTACAGTGAACAAGGGCCCTTTTGAAAACAAAAGGAGTTTTTTTCTCCCTTAAGAAACATTATACTTGCTGAAAATAGTTGCAGAATGCAATAAAAATAGAATGTGGCTGAAGAGAAATATGAAGATCCCATCACTTTTCTCACTCTGGCATTAAGGCAAAATTCTCTCTTTCAAAGGAGCCGTTTTAAAACTCTCTCAGGATAGCAATATTAGCAGCCTCCAGGGACTCCGCCATTGTCCTGCCCTCCGTCTGTAACAGGTCTGTTGAATTCAGACAGACAGAGCAGTCTAGCAAGTGGCTTAAAACATGTCCAGATCTGCTACCTGATCCTCAAGAGGTAGGAATTAAAGAGGGGAACAGAGCCCTCCTGGCAAACTGACTATATAAACTAAAAACAAAGAGCCATTTGTAGCCAGCAGGGGTTAATTAATACATATATCCAGTAATGCATTTCAGAGAAGGCATGAATGATGAATTCTACACAAAAAAGTAAGATATACAGAAAAAAGTATGTATCAGGATACAGAGGAAACAAGATCAAGAGAAGGACTCGTTACCTCTTCCTGGCACCTGGATGGAATAAGAGAAGCCTCATGTCCCCTACCCTGTACCACTTCGACAAGGACCAGTGGCTCCTCATTCATTTCATACTGGAGGGACTCTAAGGGCCTAAGGTGACAGTACAAGCAAGAAAGTGTCAGAGAGAGAAGTGCAGCAGGAATTAGGGCATCTGGGCTTCCATTCTGCACAGGGCCATGCTTACTGAATATTTTTGACTGATAACTCAAATCCTACACAATCAAAAAAAGGAAAACCTTTTATCTTTCTTCCTTGCTCCTTACACCCCCCTTCCTTATTACCACCCAAGCTTTTAAGGCCTCGAAGGGAGGTGGTTCTTCCAGGTTGTTGGGGGGCGGGTAGGGGAGGGGGATGGAAGAAACATTTAGGCTACTCTTCAGAATGTGGGTCTGAGTTGACTGTAAGTAAACTCTGGAGCAGATACTGGGGTTGGTACAGGACACTCTTCACTAACATCTCTGAAGATAGAGAGATGCAAAACAGGGTCAAATAATAGTAGAAAAGGTGGGAGTCATCATCTGTCTCTGATATGGGGAAACTGAACTCCAACTATTGTTTTTCAGCCAAACTAGGAGACACGAAAGAGCTAGAAGACTTTATTGCTGATCTTGACAGAACATTAGCAAGTGAGTACATGCCTGGTATTAAAAAATCAAACGGAAAACTAACCGACACCTCTGATAAAGTGCTGTAATGTTTACCAACTTGCCTGGGGCAGGAAGTTATACCATAAGGCTTCTTTAGGTTCCAATACAGGACCCTAGTGGCTCAGAAAGAAATTGGGAGGATCAGCTTGCCTTAAAGTAGACCGAGCAACTTTTCAAACGGTGAGACTAGGCCACCAGCAAACAATGGCATTTTGTTTGAGAAATGGAGAGTAAAAGTAGTATAGTCATTAGAGCAAGATTGGAGCTTTACCATCATGATGGTCTGCCTGGCTTTTCAGAGAAGAAATGAGCTGATTGGCTATGCAGGCATTATGCTGACAAGCCAGAGGGTTCCATCCCATAGCCAGGGAAATTCCCAGGTTTGATCCAGGGGCTTGGTGAGGTCTGACTTCCAAAGGGTTGGGTCCTGAGAGAGAATTAGCTGGGGAGACCCTGTAACCAAAGATCCACGCTAGTTACAAAAAAACCTACATTAAGTATGCAATACCTTATTTCCCATTTGGCCATTACACAATGATACCCCATTTAGTGTAACCAAAAATGTTGAAAAATGGAGATATCTGATCATAACTGCACACTCTGTTTCAAAAGGACAGGATTTCAGAAGCCAGAGGGACAGCTAGAGCTTCTGAGATTAATGTTTCAGCAGCTCTGTTCTTTGGGGGCCTTGTTCAGTCACAGAACAAGCGTGGAGAATTGTGTCCTAGCCCCTTACTTTTTCAATGAAAGAGTTGGTTTTCCATAAAAAAATATTTATGCTGTGCTCTGCTAAATAGCTGGGCAAAATCTGAAAAATCGGATTCAAAGCTGGTTATTTAAAAATAACTCTGTTCTTTACACTATTTCAGACAGGCTTAAATATTAGGTGGAGGGTCCTGTGTGTTCTCTACCTGCAGAGTTATTGCCCATTTTCTTACACACTGTACCATCCTACATCCGAAGACCAAAGCCTGTTTTGACAGGGATTTTTTGTAATTACAGCTCAGTTGCATTAGACCCATGTAACAAGCCTGTCTACTTCATGGAAATTGCAGCGGGCTGACCAGTCATACCAGTTAATCAGACATACATTATGTGGGAAGTCTGCCATTAGGTTTGTTGCTTTGATGCATGTCCGAGATGGTGGTTAAGCATAGGAGCTGTACACTTTTGTGAATGGGTAACCTCATCTATCCTATTTACAGGTATGTGAGAAAAGGAGAAGTTCTGGGTCCTTTCATCATAAGGGAAAAGCTTCAGAAAGCTCCAAGGACCTGGTAAAATCAGCTACAGAATTTGCTGCCAGAAGGAATAGAGATGAGCACATGCCTACCACCAGGCCATTCCCAGCTGGTCCTAAAACTAGCCTTTGGGCTCATCCTTGAGCAATTTCGACAGTGAAACTGACTTTGTTTACCTGCTTGCAGCATATTAGAGCAGACCACTCATGCTAATATTATATTTCTCTTAAAAGATGGCTTTCATGTAATTTAAAGTGCTTTTATGAAAATATTTGTAATTAATTATATATAGTTGGAAACAGTGATATGCTTTCCTCAGTATAATATATTTTTGTATGCAAATAAAATTTGAACTGGAATCTGTATTTTGCAAGCTTTTTCTCCCCCTCCCCCCTTATTTCTTTCAATATATTACCATTCAAATAAAGTGGGAATGACATGCCTCTTGACTTCAAACAAGGATCTTGGATGCTGCCAATTGTACTAGACCAGTGGTCGGCAAACCGCGGCTTGCGAGACATATGCGGCTTTTTGGCCCCTTGAGTGTGGCTCTTCCACAAAATACCAGGTGCGGGAGCACACATACAGTGTGATTGAAATTTCATGGCCCATGCGCAGAAGTTGGTTTTTGGCCTGGGCGAGTCTATTTTGAAGAAATGGCGTTAGAAGAAGTGGGGGTATGTTCGCTGAGGTCGACCCCTCAGATTGAGGACGTGTTTAGCAAAGGCCAGCTTAGGAGTACCCTAATTAAGTTAATAACAATATACCTACCTATGTAGTTTAAGTTTAAAAAATTTGGCTCTCAAAAGAAATTTCAATCGTTGTACTGTTGATATTTGGCTCTGTTGACTAATGAGTTTGCTGACCACTGTACTAGACAATAGGATGGTAAAACTTAAAATGTTACTTTGTTTTTTAATCCTCACCTGAGGATATTTTTTCCATTGATTTTTAGAGAGAGTGGAAGAGAGAGGGAAAGACAGAAATATTGATGTGAGAGCAACACATCGATCGGTTGCCTCCTGCTGGGCCAGGGAGGAGCCTGCAGCTGAGGTACATACCCTTGACTGGAATCAAACCCAGGACCCTTCAGTCTGCAGTCCCAACACTCTATCCACTGAGCCAAACCAGCTATGGCTTAAAATGTTACTTTGAAACTCATTTCTGAATTCTAGAGGAAAATGTATGATTAATGGGAAATTTTAATTTGAGAATTGTGGCTTTGATGGAAGTTGAGTTTCTCTTCTATCTCTGTTAGCCTATCTTCATATCTTAGCATCTTTTTTTTAGGTATCATGGGCTCTCTCCTTTGGTTTAAGGGAAATATCAGTTTCACTCACAATCCAGGACTTAAATCTGAGGGAAAGTTGGGGCAGCCAGAAGAGTTGGTGGTGCTCTTACAAATCTCTGTGCTAAGGAAGATTTCATGTACTGATCTCGATGCCCATGTTCAGCTGGCTTTGGTGGAGCCAGGGGGTCCAGATGCAAGGTCTTCCATCAGGTGGGCTTTGCATGTAGAAGCCAATGCTCACCTCTCCTCCCCCCTGCCTTTTTTGGAGGCTGGAAGAGGTGTAAAAACAGGAAAGTTCATAATTTTCTTATTTATGATTTTCTATTTACAAACCTCTAAAATGGCCCTAGCTGGTTTGGTTCAGTGGATAGAGCATTGGTCTGTGGACTGAAGGGTTTGATTCTGGTCAAGGGCATATGCCCGGGTGTTAGGCTCGATCCCTGGTGAGGGGCATGCAGGAGGCAGCTGATCAATGATTCTCTCTCATCATTGATATCTCTCTCTCTCCCCCCCTCTCTCTCTCTCTTGTCCTCTCTGAAATCAATAATCAAAATCTCTGAAATCAACCCTGGTATACTTGTTTTTAGTTCTATTAGTTATTTTATGGGTTTACATAAAAATATCATTTACAAATAGAAATAGTTTTACTTCTTACTTTCCAATCTGAATGCCTTTTTAATTCTTTCTGTTGCCTCATTGCCCTAGTTAGAACATCCAGTACAATGTTGAAAACAAGTGGTGAGAGGGCATACCCTCATCTTGTTCCTGATCTTAGAGGGAAGCTTTTATCTTTTATCTTTAAGTATGATGTTTGCTGTGGGCATATTTTCTTTTTCAATCAAATGAGCTCTTGACTTGTTTTCTAAACACAACTTCTCAATGACCTGGAACTGTTTCTTGCTCATGCTTGGGAGCCTTTATCTTCTTTGGATAAATCTTTTTTTAAATCAGGACACCAGTGGCTGGTGCCAGTATAACTGACAGTATAATTTTTATAGCCTCTTCTGGGATTGAGGCTCTATCTTTATGGTCTTCTGGAGCATGAACTCCCATAGTTAGAAGTGCAGGGTATGTGGCCTATTGTGGGGATAAGGCAAGTGGTTTGAGGAAAAGAAGTGGATTCTTTTAGAGAAGTGTTGGGGGGAGAGTAGTTTATGTACTATAAACTTCTCTTGGGTGAATAACTGGGCACAAGCACAGCTTGTGGGCTGAGTTACAGCTTGGGTTCTGAGAATGTTGAAAAAAGTGTTTTAAATGTTTTACAAGTTGTATTTCAAGTAGCACCTTTCTAAACTGTTTTGAGAAATAGGTATTAAGGTCATATATACTTGAAAAGTGCTGCATGGTATGTACCCCACTTAGAGATTTATTCACATTATGCATAAATACTTAGGGTCAGTTTAAGTTTGTGAATCAGAGAACCAAAAATAGAATGTCTTGAACAAAATGGAAGATTTTTTTTCCTCACTAACAGCCCAGAGGTGAGCAGTACTGGGTCCAAAGTGGCTGCTTCTGCCCTTGTCATCACATGTACATTCCAGCCATTAGAAAGGAGAAAAGGTGAGTGAACACAGGCTTATTTCTTTCAATGACATGACTAGAAGGGACACAATCACTTGTGCGCATATTCCCGTGTTTAGATCTTTGTCCGGTAGTCACTCCTAGCTGCGAGGGATGCTGTGAAAAACGTCTCTAGCTGGGCAGGCAGATATGTGCTCAGCTAACATTTGAGAGTGCAATTATTAAAGAAAGACAAAGAGAATGGGTATTGGAGGACAACTAGTCACCTCTGCCACTGAACCCTGCGGTGTTCCTCCTCCTCCAGACCGGAGAGCCAGCAGCATGCCTTTGCAAACTGCTTTATTGTTACCTGGAGTGTGTTAGTGAATGAGCTTTCTGGAATAGAACAAGACCAGACATTGAGCATGCAGAGCTGTTCGGATGCGAATAGTAGGATTTTGAGTTTGGAAATTTTCTGGGTTTTTTTTGTTTTTTTTTAAGATATATTTTATTGATTTTTTACAGAGAGGAAGGGAGAGAGATAGTCAGAAACATCGATGAGAGAGAAACATCGATCAGCTGCCTCCTGCACATCTCCCACTGGGGATGTGCCCACAACACAGGTACATGCCCTTGACTGGAATCAAACCCGGGACCCCTCAGTCCGCAGGCCGACGCTCTAGCCACTGAGCCAAACCGGTTTCGGCAATTTTCTGTTTTAACTTCTGGGAGGAATAGCTGAATCAATACAAAACAAAATGTTTGACACACATCCAAAGTAAGAGGATCCCGTGCCAGCCTAAATGTTTACACACCAGCCAGCCCCTGGGATGGGACAGAGGGACCAATGCACGCCTCTTCTCAGGGGCATTGTGACAGAGAGGGCTACATTGCACATCTGTCCAGGTGTGAGAAGGCCGTCTGAGGGGAGGGGCAGTTGGAAGTGGTGTATAGCTTACTGGCAATATGGGTGGGGAACTTGAGGAATTAGACTGGAAAAAGGGGGAGAAAGTAAAGTATGGGCTTTCAAACTAGACCAGTTCTGCCACTCTACCTGGGTGCTACCTCGAGTTCACCCTCCTCACAGAGGCTCTGTTTCCTCATTTGTAAAATGGAGATGTGAGTCCTTGTCTCCCAGGGTCACTTGAAGATCAAATATAGAAAACCTGGTGTCTACAACTCCTCATCCTCCTTTTCGTATTATAAGGACACTGGGCTCCTCTGCCCAAGGCACAACCAAGCTTCACCTATAGTGGTCTCAGAGGCAGTTCCAACCCCATTGTTTCTCTTCCAATAAAAGAAAGCCAGAAGCTGCTGTCTGACGGGACCAGAGGGAACAAGGCAGGGGGAGAACATAGGACACAGAACCCAGAGATGGGCTTCAAGGCCCGCCCTGCCATTGACTGATCCGGGTCCTCTCCTGGCCTCAGCTTCCTCCAGGTTAAGCACAGGACGGGGACTCAGTGTCTCGATGACTCACTGTTGGGTTTCTTTAGCCCCTCCAGTGTGGTGGCTCTGGCTCTTACCTCAGACCTTTGCTCTTTTCTGAAAAGCCAATGAGATCTTTTTCTTGGTTTCTCAGGCTGTGTTTCTTCCACATCCTTCTCCAAAAGGTTTTCCTGTGCTAATTTATTTGGCTAAGAAGCTTTGTGGTGAGAGATACCAAACAGGAAATGGCTGTCATAGCTGCTGTCTGCACTTTTGTTTTTTTTAAGGCTTTCTCCGGCATAGCTTACCTTCTCTGCGTCCCTTGGTATTGATTTAAGTGCAGGAGTAAGTGGAAGGGGAAAGGGAAAGGGAAACCCATTTTTAGAAGGGAACATTTTCCTTTAAGTTCAGAGTTTACTGAAGGTTAATGATCATACACAACAGCAGTGTTAGGTGGGCCTTTATCCTACAGGGCCTTTGCACAAGCAGGTCCCTCTGCCTGCAATGCCTACTCTTCCCTGTATTTTTTTTTTTCAAGTTAATTTCCTCTTCTTTAGGATTAAGCATCACTTCTTCAGAAAGGCTTCTTGGTCCCCCAGTCCAGGTTGTTTCCTTGGAGTTATTCTTGTAGAATACACACCAGCCAGCCCCTGGGATGGGACTTAAGTACACTAATCTTGGTTTGCAATGACATTTGTTAGTGTGATTTTTTTGGGTTCATTTTTCCCCACCCTCCTGCAAGTGAACCATAGCTCCACACAGGCAGGAACCAGCTGGTTTGGCTTGCCACAGTATCCCCAGTGCCTGGCATGACCCCTGGCACACAATAAGGACTCAGTCCATACTTGTTGAATGAAATAAGTGAAATTTCTCTCCTCTTCTACAGCCCAGGCAGACTGGGCATGACACGAGACTGTGGGTTGCTCTTTTGCCCCGTCTTCTCACCAGGCCACCCTTCTCTTGCAGGTCTTTTCTGCTCTCCTTTCTCAGGGCCTTGCCCCTACACTACCAAGGCATCTGAAAAATTGACCCAAGGCCAGCACTGGCACTGGGGACCCATAGCAGTTTCTTCCCCAGCTATTTATTTTTTCAGAGGAGGAGAGACTTCTGAAGACCGAGAGATCTTTGAGGATAAACAGAATGA